CTCCCTCCCTCCCTCCTCTCCTCTCCTCTCCTCTCCTCTCCTCTCCTCTCCTCTCCTCTCCTCTCCTCTCCTCTCCTCTCCTCTCCTCTCCTCTCCTCTCCTCTCCTCTCCTCGCCTCGCCTCGCCTCTCCTCTCCTCTCCTCTCCTCACCTCACCTCTCCTCTCCTCTCCTCTCCTCTCACGTCGCTCAGGTCGATGGCTCCGACATGTGGGACAAGGTCTACCCAGTGGATTCTAACAAGGACAAGAAGTAGAAACTTCGATACCCTCCGCTACTAGCTCAGCTTCTTTTCTCCCCTCTCCCTCTCCTCACTCCTCGCTTCTCATCTCCTCCCTTCCCTCCCTTCTCGTCTGATCTCTTCTCAACATGGCTCGACTCACTTGTCGTGGCATAGCAACACTTCACTTCTTGTTGTTGATAAATTTCGTTCTTGGCTCGAACACGTGAAGCTCAACAGCCCGGGGCCGGGCCTCCCGCAGAAATTCTCAGTGACTGAACCCGCGGCCCGGTCTGCTGTCACTGAGACTCAGTGGCCAGCTCAGTGGCACGGCTCATGGACAGTGGGGGGGATGAGGGGGGACATGTGGGGGATGAGGGTCCAATCGCACGTGCTCCTTGCTAGAGTCCTCAGAAAGTCCTCCTCCTCCTCCTTCTCCTGCAGCTCTTACAGCTGCTGCTGCTGCTGCTGCTGCTGCTGCTGCTCCACTTCCGCATAATCGAGAACCCTCTCCTTTGTTTCTTCTCCCTCCTCCCTCCTCTTCAGGCACTTTCTCCATCCTCTCGTCCTCGTTGCTGATCTTTCTTTCCTTTCACAGTATCCCCTCACTTTCCTCACGATGGAGGCAGCAGAGGCAGAGGCCCTGCTAGGAGCTCTCCTCCTCCCTCAGAACGATGGGATCAAGGCAGCAGAACAGCGTCTCAAAGCTGTTTCTTCCTCTCCGTCCTACACGATCCTCCTCATTGATCGCGCCATGTCTTCTCCTTCCCCTCAGATTCGTCAGCTTGCTGCAGTGCTTGCCCGCCGCAAGTGCATCCGCCATTGGGACATGATGGGAGACGAGGATCGCGGTAGGGTCAGGAGCATGCTGGAGCACATGCTCGCACACGAGCCTGAGCACCTTGTGAGGCGAAGCATCGCCGAGCTCGTGTCCTCCATAGCCAAGCTTGCAGTCCCTGCAGGGCAGTGGACGGGGCTGCTGCAGTTCCTCCTGGAAGCGAGCGAGAGCGATAAGAGCGAGCACAGGGAGGTCGCGCTCATGGTGTTCTCCTCCCTGACCGACAGCATCGGCAGCCAGCTGCGCCCGCACTTCCAGCAGCTCGTCCGCATCTTCCTCAGAGGCATGAGCGATGCTGCGGCTCCCGTGAGGATGGCGGCACTGGCAGCGGCAGGGAACCTCATTCAGTGGTTGGAGAGCGGGCAAGAGAAGGCGATGGGAGCAGAGATGGTGCCGTCGGTGCTTCAGGTCACTCAGCACTGCATCGAGGTCGGGGAGGAGGAGACGGCGCTGCAGGCAGTCGAGATGCTCACAGAGACGATCGACAGCAACTTTGAGCTGTTGGAGGGTCACCTGGCAACGCTGGTGAAGTTCATGCTGGATGTGTCCTGTGCGAAGGATCGGGTGGAGGTGGCGGTGCGGGAAAAAGCGATGATGTTTGTGACGGAGCTGTGCGGTCAGAAGGCGAAGCTGCTGAAGAAGAAGCATATGATCCCGATGATCTTGCAGGCGACCTTCACGCTGGCGAGCGAGGGAGGGGAGGAGGAGGATGAGGACGCGGACGAGGAGCCAGTCTTCAAGTTCGGGACGGTAGCGCTAGACGTCCTGTCGCAGCAGCTGTCCTCCCGCGTCATCGTTCCCCAGGTCATGTCGCATGTGATGGCCAACGTGTCGAGCCCGGACAAGTTCAAGAGGAGAGGAGCACTCTACATCCTCGGAGTCTGCGCAGAGGGCTGTTCGGAGAGCTACGTGGAGCAGCTGGATACCATCCTGCCGTGGCTGCTGCAGGGGCTAGGGGATCAGGAGAAGGTAGTGAAGGAGCACGCGTGCTGGGCGCTGGTGCAGTGCGCTGAGTTCTGTCAGCCTGAGATCATGGAGCACTACGAACAAGTTCTGCCAGGCATCTTCCGAACGCTGCAGGAGGAGGCGGCGCCCAACGTGAGGAGGGGAGCTATGTTCGCCCTCGACGCCTTCTGCGAGAACCTCGGGGAGGAGCTGGAGCCGTACCTCGAGGAGCTGATGAGAAAGATGCTCGAACTGCTGCACGGGGACTCGCTCGAGATCCGCGAGCTTGCCATCTCCGCCATCGCCAGCGCTGCCGGCTCGTCCGGGGAGAAGTTCGTGCCCTACTACCCGCCCGTCATGCAGCAGGTCCTGCAGCTGATGCACCTGACGGAGGATGATGCGCTGTCCCTACGAGCGCGCGCGACCGAGTGCGGGGCCGTGATGGCGGTGACGGTGGGCAAGGAGAAGTTTGCGGGGGACAGCGTCATGTTCGTCCAGCTGGCGATGGCTGGGCTGCAGCTGGACTCGAACGAGCTGAGAGAGTACACCTACGGGGCGTTTGCGAACCTTGCTGGGGTGCTGCAGGAGGAGATGCTGCCGCTGCTCCCGTCGCTGCTCCCCAAGATGATCGAGTCGATCGAGTCGGAGGATGGGGTGACGGAGGTGGAGGAGGATGGGGCTCCGAGCCTGCGGGGGATCGTGTCCCCGGACAGTGACGATGAGGACGAGAGTGACCCCAAGGCCCTCGCCGTGCGAACAGCCTGGCTGGATGAGAAGGTCCTGCTGCTGCTGCTGCTGCTGCTGCTGCTTCCTCTTTCCCAATTTTTCCATCCTTTCTCGTCCTTGTACACTCAATCCTCTCTGTCCTCGTTCTTCGTCCT